CGGACCGCGGACGCCGCCAGCCTGAGGTGAGGGAAAGGAGGCCCTGCAGCCGGGGATCCTGAAGCTGGAGACGCTGGGGCAGGGGAGGGGCGGTGGCAGCAGGGGCCGCCTCCCAGCCTCAGAGCGCACGCGGCCGGGCTCCATCCCGTCCTGACCCGTCGAGGCTGGGCAGTCCAGCAGTCTCCTCAGCCGTGGGGCCTTGAGGTCCTTTCCCGAGAACCGTGGAGGACTCTGGAGTCGCGGGGATGGCGGCCCGGACCCCGGAACTGAGAGGCGTACTGACTTGGGCCCCTGAGGAGGACGGGGTTGCCCCTGGAGCAAGCAGGCTCCTGTCTGAACTCTGCTAAATGTGGTGGTTCGTGCTCTTTTAGGCCGACTCGGAACGGATTCATGCCATACCCCTCTGAGATGAGACTCCGGGCCAGGGAGCGGGAGAATACCACGTGGGAGGACGGTGTCCAGGGCTGGGTCTGGTTGCCTTTAAAGTCTCCTTTACTTGCGGAGCGAGGTGTGGGGTGCAGAGAATCTTGTTCTCACTGTGTCTTTGTATCTTGGCGAGAGCCAGGGCCAAGCAGGTTGTCCTTTGCCAGTTCCTGTTCAAAGGATTTTAGGTCTTCTGTGGAGATGTACTAAATATACATGCCTGTTGATATTCTTTCCTTCACGAATGTTGTACTGATTCGGGGCAGCATTTGGAGATAGGAAACAGGAAGGCGATGGGTGGGTAAAGATTTCAGAGGAACATGTGTGCTGAAGAAGGGCCTGCCCCGATCCAGGCCAACATTATTATTGGAGTTGGAGAAGGGCAAGTGAACACTTGAAAGCCCCTCTAAAAGTCAGGGACTAATATAGGATTTATGGCCTATATTTTGTAGAAGTATACAAGAATATAGCTTCTCAGAGAGAACTACTTTAATTTGAACTATTTTTGTTTTGAGGTTTAAGACTGAAATCAAGTGACTCTAGGAGTTCCTGATTCCATTTATACTTAGAGTTTCAGAAATTTCACTGTATGCAGATTAAACTTAATAATCTGGTCTTCAGTCTCAAAACTTGGTTTTCCTTGATTTTCTTTCTCTAGTTTCTTTTCTAATCCCACAGTTCAGATTGAGAAGGATGCTTTCTTTGGTTACGTATGGTAGTTACTTCTCTTTTGGAGGGTTCAAATATTCAAATTTATCTTATCTTGCTTCATCATAAGGGATGCTTTGGACGACTGTGTTGAGGATTTTTCTGCCCATTGGGAAAACAGTGTCTAACAGAGCAGGACTACATTTAGCAGAGTTCAGCTAGGATCCTGCTTGCTATAAACTAGCAAGTGTTTTCCCACTTCTCTTGCCACAGTTTCTTTATTTTTACTACTTAATGTATAGCAGGAGAACTGATATGAACCCAAGAATAATTAATATTGTAAAGTGGGTATATGAAAGGTGCCACAGGTAAAGTAATAGGTTATAAAGATGTCTATTTACAAATGTTGTAGAAGTCTCCTTTGTTTTACCAGTGCAGAGAACATCCATCATAAGGTAAAATAGGTTTTTTTTTGCCATAGCCCGCCTGTGTCCTCCAGAGTGTACTTTTATTTTGCTCTTTTCTTCTTCTTCTTCTTCTTTTTTTTTTTTTTTTTTTTTTTTTTTTTGGTACCGGCGCTTGAACTTGGGTCCTTGCGCTTGCAAGGCAGGCCACCAAACCGCTGAACTAAATCCCCGGCCCTTGCTCTTTTCTTCTTTCTTAGCCCAAGCTTGCTCTGCAGAGCTGGTTTTCCCCTCCTCTTCACTTTTACTTTTTCAAGTAAACTTTGCCACCGTTAAAAAAAAAAAGAGAGATTAAATTGTTTTGAAATGGAAGGGAAAGTTGGGAAAGATGGCCTTTTGCTTAATGACTTTATACTTCAGACAATGTAATGTCAAAGACCTAGTATTGTGAAAGCCAGCCTCAGACAACTCTCATTTAATGTTGACCTCTCTAAAATGTGTGAACAGGTTCAGGTGTAGGCAGCACCATACAGTATTTCCTTTTCAGTCAATGACTAGGAAAAAAAAAAGTTTTTTACTTGTCTCTTGTACTGGTTTAACAGGTCAGGGGCTAGTGGGTTTTTTTTGTTTTGTTTTGTTTTAATTTAAAATATCCCTTCCCCCTTTTTTTGGACTACTAACATGCTAGTAATAATCTAAAAATAAAGAAATAAGAATGAAATTTGTGTAGGGCTGGGGATTTAGTACAGTGGTTCCGCTGCCTGCCTCACAAGTGCAAGGACCTGAATTTGATCCCCAGTACCAAAAATAAATAAATAAATAAAATTTGTGAAATAATATATTGGAAATTAGGATTTCCTCTTGAGGAGGAGGAAATCTTTTGGCAATCGAGAAAAAAGTTACATTACTATAGGACATGTTCTTAAAGATTAATAATTACAGAAGCTGTGTGTCAAACATCTTTCCAAACCTTAAAACTCCAAGATTATGAAGTGGTGAATGAACACTAAAGACTGGCTGAAAAAGATTTTCGATAACTGTTGAGGTGACTACCATTTTCAAATAGTTTTCTTTAACTTTTCACCTTGAATTATTGCTTTTCTGTTGCTTTATTTTTACAAAACTCAAGTATTTGTTACTTTATTTGAATCTAATGGACTGTTTTCAGGTGTTTTTAAATAGCTTGTGAACTATCACAAATAGTGTTACAAGAATTTTGTACTTGCATAAATAAAGATTATGCATCTGATTAGCTATAAATTCTTTCAAGTTCAGCCAATTGATCTTAGTTAAGTATGCTGTAATGATTCAGTTTGTACCAGTTTATTATTTATTCAATCTACCATTAAGCCATCTAGTCTTAGGATGTTTAAGGAAGCAAAAGGAAAGAAGCTTCAACAATAAATAATCTTAAGCACCTTACCCAAAAGTTGGTAGCCCTAACTGATCCCAGCTTCCAGTGATGTTATTTGGGACTTAAACTCATTACATCTTTTCAGCATGCCTATTCTCATCTTTTCTTTGAGACACTGTCTCACTTTGTAATTCATGATGGCCTTGAGCTCATTGTTTAGCCCAGTCTGTCCTCAAACTTGCAGCAGTCCTCCTACCTCAGCCTCCTGAGTGCTGGGATTGTATACCACCAAGTCTGGCTACTCATCTTTCTTTCTTTTTCTTTTTTCTTTCTTTCTTTCTTTTTGTTTGTTTGTTTGTTTAGTTTTGTTTGGTACGAACTCATGACCTTGCCCTTGCGCAGCATGTGGCCGAACCACTGAGCTAAATCCGAGCCCTTCATCTTTCTTTTTCCCTCCCTCCCTCCCTCCCTTCCTTCCTTCCTTCCTTCCCCTCCTTCCCTTCTTTCTTGTGATGCTGGTAACCCAACCCAAAGTCTTTTACATGCTAGGCAAGCACCCTACCACTGAGCAACATCCTCAGTTCCTCTCATCCTTTAAAAAAAATTTTTTTTGGGGGGAATACAGGGGATCGAACCTGGGACCTGGGACCTTGCACTTGTGAGGCAGGTGGCGGAACCACTGAGCTAAATCCCCAGCCCTTTTTTTTTTGTGTGTGTGTGTGTGTTTTTTTTTTTTTTTTAGGGTCTCACTATGTAGTTGAGACTGCTCTGGAACTCACTGTATAGCCCAGGCTGGTCTCAAACATGCCGCGATCCTCCTGCCTCAGCCTCCCGAGTGCTGGGATTACAGGTATGCACCACCATGCCCGGCATTCCTTTTTTGTTTTTTGAGACAGGGTCTCACAATATAGTTCAGGCCGAACTTAAACTCACGGTGACCTTCCTGCCTTAGTTTCCTGAGTGCTGGGATTACTGGCAAGTATCAACACACTTAGCTTTCCTTATCTTTTTCTTTATATAAGGATCCACAATAAATAATATTTACCTTGCCCTGACAACAGGAATTTAAATTGCATGGCTATACTAGTTATAAAGTAATCATTCTAGATAGAATGTTTGTATAAATGATTTTCTTCTTTTTTTTTTTGCGGTACCTGGGATTGAACTCAGGACCTTGGGCTTACAAGGCAGGCTCAGTGCCACTGAACTAAATCCCCAGCCCAATGATTTTCTCCTTTAAATGGTAACACAAAGTAAATGAATTCACAAAGTTTGAAAAACAGATTCAGCTTTGGGGAAGATATTTTAAGGAATAGAAGACCTTATTTATGAATATCTAACCACACCCTATGATAGAAATAGAATAAACTCACTGAAGAAGTTCCTTAACATTATTGTCTTTTTGTAGACAGCTTTCAAACCTGTCTTTAGGGCATCATATTACAGTGATACATGCATACCCATGTTTGTAGCAGCACAATTAATAATAGCTAAATCTTGGAAGTACCCTATATGTCCTATATGTCAATCAACAGATGACTGGATAAAGAAAATATATTTACACACAATGGAGTACTATTCTGTCATAAAGAAAGATAAACTTTGTAAGAAAATCGATGCACCTTGGG